ACAGACAGACAGACAGACAGACAGACAGGCAGACAGACAGACAGAAAACATCCGGACTCACCATCAGTTCAGCTGTCAATGTTTTTTTTTTGTTTTTTACGGGGAGATTCTTTGTTGATTGCCCCTCGAGGGGGCTAGTTTATTGGGCACCCCCTTACATCCTGTGCAAGGTGAAGCGCAGAAGCGTTTACAGCGCCCATCTGGGAAGCATGCGGAGTTCATGCTTGCCTTTCTGACTCATGCATTAAGGGCGTAAAAGCCTGAAGGGTCATGGGTTTTGTCAGCAAGTTACATAAAGTGACAGAATGCTGAGTGTGTGGGGGGAAATTTTCCGGTACAATTTATCTGTTTATGGCAAAGCGTGGCAGGTCCCTAATAGTGTCAAGTGCCAGGCCATAGGCATTGACAATATTGAGGGACATACCTTGTAGTGTGATTGTGATGGTGTGTACGTCGGTAGTGTCGGCTTCAAAGGGGACGTCGAGAGGATGGTAGGTGTTACCGCAAGCAGCAAACACAAACAAATATTATGTTAAGCTGTAAGTCATGTCATGTTTATTGGGTGTGCCTGCCCGTATGCAGTGTGTAGAGTACGAAGATGGTGGAGATGAGAGGCCCAGAAGGAGGTTGGAGGGTGTGAAGGGAGTTTGTTTATGTATAATTATAATCACCTGACTCAGCCATAGCTGACCAGCCAGGGGGCCAGGCTATAGGGTGGGCATTTCAGTATAGCTTCCCATATCTTAGAGTCAACACCTACCCTGGCTTCTCTCTAGACTTTCAACACGTAAGTTTAACTAGTACTTATTGTGTACACAGGTAGACTGTGTCCATTGCATCATTTATCAGTGTGACAATATAGAAATATGGCAAATTGAGTACTCAATGTAAGTGTTAAGATTAGACTAATTACATAGCCATGATTGTTATGTATATATATATATATTGGATTAAACATTTATGTAGGAGTGCCTATGTCTGACTTATTTGAAATACTAAATGAATTGTAATCAACAGGTTTGACCGAATTATAATGTTCAAGTACTACGTGAAGAGTCTAAATATCCTTAACCGCCTGACTGGCGGTTACAGTAGGGGACGTCTTTCTTTGCGTAGATACGTAGTCCACTAGCATGTCCTCATGGTGGTCAATTGATGTGGAGAACTGGAGTGGATGGGCCCCAGGTGCTGGCATGCCGGTGGGGGGCGGGGAGCCGGGGGTGGTGTCCTCGGGTAGGCTTGGCTTGTGGTGGGTGGACGGGGGCAGACGGGCACACCGGGGCAGGCTCGGTAGCGTGGACGCCAGCAGTGATGCCAGGCGGCGGTGGAGTAGGCCGTGAGCAAGAGGGGCACACAGGGGGGCTACCAGGTTGTGTCAAACCAGAAGAGGGGGTGACTGGGTAGCAGCTGGAGATGGCGGTACAGAGTGTATCAAAGAGTCTTTCAATACGGTTGGTAAATTCGTGTAAGAGGGATACGATCTGTGTCGTGTCGCCGGAAGGGTGTTGTGGGGGGTACCGGTGGTAGCACAAGGCCTGACAGCGTCAGAGTAGAGACGGGGAGGAGGCCCAGTAGTAGTTGAGTTAGGAGACGGCCGTGTTGCAGCCAGGTGAGGCCAGGCAGGGGCAGGTGTTTTTGAAGAAGGCGTTGCTGGAGACAGAGGGGACGCAGAGGGATGCAGCCCAGTAGGCTGGGGGGAGGTAAAGTTTGACGCAGCCTTCGGGGAGGCTTTTCTCCTAGGACAGGCGGACGTTTGGGGCATTGCCATGAGTCAGCATTGTGCCAGCCACCACAATTACAACACCTGGGGTCAACAACATAGCTCACACCACCCCCATTGAGGTGGTCTTTGATTTTTTGGGCACAGGAGGAGTGATGGTTTTGTGAACAGAAGCGACATTTGGGACGATCACGTCGGCAGCAGGCGGTGAAGGTGTGACCCCAATGGGAGCAGATGACACAAAAAGCAGGCTCGTGGTGATAGGGTTCTGCATACAGTGGAGGGAGGACTGGGTGGGCCTCAACAGTGGTTGGGCACTCCCTCCCCTTCCAGTTAACTATGACAGCTGCTTGTGGGGTCTTCCATCGGTAGTGTCGACGTATACTGAGTATACTTGGATTAAAGTTACTGCTTAACTAGGATGTGGCAACAGTCCTCTGCATCAGCAGGAGGAGGCATGAGGACAACCCCGTCAAATCCAACAGTACTGAGTGTTTCATAGACCTCGGGTGTCTGACAGTTGATAAAGTTACGGTTCTTACCTTT